TACAGCTGCTCTGATCTGACCCTTTAGATATGGATAAGCATTGGTAAGATCCCCCCTCAGCCTCCTCCAGCTGAACAGCCCCAGCTCTCAGCCTTTCCTCATGTGGAAGGTGCTCCAGGCCCCTCATCATCATCATGGCCCTGCGCTGGGCCCTCTCCAGCAGCTCCTTGTCCTCCCTGAGCTGAGGAGCCCGGAGCTGGGCACAGCACTCCAGGGGAGGCCTCACCAGCCCTCTCCATCCCAGAGGTACAGAAAGAACGGTTTGCCTGGTAGCCCTGACTGGCCCTTCACTCATTCTACAGGAAAGAACCAGGGAAACACAAATAAATTAATTACAATTTATTTATAAAAATCGTCTAGTAGCCTTAGAAAATCAGGAAAATAGTTTTCTCCATTACTTGAAAAAAAGCACAAGGAAAAGAGTCTCAGGAGACTGCAACCTCTGTTTGTCCAACAAAGACAGAGGTAATTTTGTCCTGTGCTCCAGGAAAGTGGCACCTTTTACGCGCAGTGACAGAACAGTCCCAGTCCCAGCAGAATCACTATAATTTTGGGTTTGAAACTCCGTGCGAGTGTGTGGCCTTGGCTGACCTGCTGCATCTCCGTCAAGTGTTCTGCCTGATTTCTTCCTCGCTGTCCTGGGGACCTGGCGTGACAGTTTCTACCTGCATCGTGTTGTGGTTCCCAATCTGAACCATCCGAGCGTGTTGAATGATGAGGGGTGGGACGCCCCCCGGACCTGGCATCACGTTGTAGTGGCCTGATGGGAGATGAATTGATTGGAAAGAGGGGAGACCGGCAGGGGGGGGCGGGGGGGCGGGCGGGGGGGGGAAAAAAAAGTGGGGGTGGCTGCTCCAGCAGCTGCGACCGTGTTGCTGAGGGAGACGCCTGGGCAAGGTTCAGGGAAGCTAAGCTCTGCAGCGTTTGATACCGTTCCTGATGGAGCTGTAGCTTCCTCCTCTGCGTCAGGTCCCACATGGCTTTCCTCTCATTGATCCTGCTGGTGGTGAAGGTGTTCTGCACCGTCCTGGAGAACCCAGGAGAGTTCTCATCCAAGGGCATCAGCCCGCCGAGTGTGCTGGGAATCTGACTCCGCTCCAGGGGGTTCTCCTTGGGCACAAAAGGGATCACGGAGTCACGCTTGGATGGCTTCAGGATGGACTCCATCAGAGCGGTGTTTGTCTGAAACATGCACAGGTCGCATGGGAAGTTCTTGGTCAGCAGGAGGATGATGAAAGCAGAGTTATCCATAGCATCCTGGAAGCAAGTCAGGTGGCTGCGCCCGGCGATGAAGAAGTCCTCGCAGAGTGTGGCACCGTTGGGAACCCCCATGTTCTCCAGACGGTCTTTGACCCGGTGGGCAACGGTCTCATCTTCGCTAGCGTGCAGGACAACGAAAGTGAAGAACTTCCCACCATCTGGCTCCGATGTGGGCACAGCTTGGAGAGGAGGGGTCCAGGCTGGACAGGGGGTGGAGTGGAGGGGAGCGGGATATGATAAGTTGTGGGGAGGTCCCTGAGTAGGAAGGGTGGAGGAGAAGGAATAGGTAGGAGGAGGAAGGGAACAGGTTGGAATGGAAGCTGATGCCGAGTTAGAAGTGCGTGCACAGGAGTCCTCCATGGATACGTGGGCAGGGCCAGTATCTGCTGTAGCTCTTGAGTCAGGAAGAGCTGTAGATAATCGCTTCTCACCTTGCGTTTTGTGTGCGCTTTCCTTCGGTGTGTGAGGTTCTGCTGCCACTGTGCTGGAAACATCAGTGCTTTCAACAGGCTGGGTGGCAGCACCCCGCGTGGGCGGCTGCCGTTCAGGGGACAACCGCGACCTGCCCTCCACAGCCTCCGGCTGGGGCACGTGGGCATCCGCATCCTGCCCGGGGTGAGCGTTGGGTCTGCTGGCCCAGGTTGTGTCCTGCAGGCCGTGGCTCGCTCTGTCCCCGTCAGGCTGTCCAGCCCCGCTGGCACTCCCTTCGCAGAGCCGGCTGGGCTGCGGGACGTGCTGGCGGGAAGAAGGCTGCATGCGGAAAACTACGGTTGGTGACGCACTGATCTCAAAGCGACTGGGGAGAGAGGGACTCCCCAGGGAGCACAAGGTCCGTGGGCCTGAAGGGTCTGAGTTGCCTTCAATCTGCACTGGGGAACTTCTCACCACGTGGTTTGGGTGAAATCCTACATCCTCATCAGACCTCAGCGTCTGAAATTTGTCCCCTGGGCCCATGCCCTGTTTTCCCAGATCCTCAGCTGGGATGCTGTTGAGCGTGTCCCCCTGCGTTTCCTTGCAGGCCTCGGTGGCAGCCTGGCAGGCTTTGTCCCTGGCTTCACCACCGCACAGTTTTTCCTCCGCCAACACCGCGTAGATCTGTGCCAGAAGTGCCATGGTACCTGCATCCAGCTGGACATCCTCCCCATCTTCCTGCACTCCTGCAGCGCCCAGTTTGGTCTGGTGGACATACTGGGCTGCCCGGTTATCTCCCAAAGCATCCAAACAAATTCTCGCATCCGTTTCTTGCCCCAGAGTAAGCAGGACCATGGCTTGCAGTAATTTGCTGCTGGGCCCAAACACCAAGTGCTTCAGTTTGTATTTGAGGCTAAGGAGTTTATCCTGGGGGATCTGGGAGAGAATATTAAAAATGTCCTCAAAGCTTGGGTGGAGCTCGGCGCTCTGTGCCATCTCCTCAGCGGGCGGCCCCGACGATGGGCTGAGGCAGCATGGGTGGAAAAAGCATGTCAGGGCACTTGGAGCGACGGTCTGTTCCCCTGCGGGGCTCTGGGATGCTCTGGCTGTGCCTCAGGTGCCACGCGAGTGACGGCTCTCTGGGATATCTCTGTCCTGGAGAAGCGGCGTGATGAACCTGCGAGAAGAACACGGGGCAGCGTTCAGCAAGGGCAGCGTGGGGAGCTGGGGGGGTCCTCATGAGGCCTGCAGAGCTCCCAGGCTCTGCCTCACACCTCCCCGGTATTTTTGCATCAGTTGGCCTGCAGAGCTCCCGGGCTCTGCCTCACACCTCCCTGGTATTTTTGTGTCAGTTGAGGGCAAAGAGCAAGTTCTTTGCTTTCATTTCTCATTAATTACAGCTGGTTTAAAATAATTGCTGAACTAATCACGTGTTTAGGTAAATTCAAGTGGCTGTTCCTAGCAGGCTCCTTGCAATGGGCAGTCGAGGAATAAAGCCCGTGCCGGGGGGGTTGATAACCCACGCGCATCCAGTGTCAGGCTGCCGGATGGAATTGTGGACACGGTACATCCATCCACACCTGAT